TGGGATCCCAGCCCCCTTAACCACCACGCCCCCTGCCGACCTCAGGATTCCAGATTATTTTTTAAGTATTATTTTAAATACTGGGACCAGCAGGAACATAGTGGTTGAGGTGCTGGACTCCACGGCTGGCTACCTTGGTTTGGACCTGGAGGCTTGAAACTCACATAGTCAACCACAGTTCGAGTCCTGAACCTGGTGGCTTAAACTCACACCAAGCGCGTGTGCGTGTGTGCCCAAGATCCCGAGAGGAGAATGGAGGAGAAGGGATTGCGGCGTGGCCATCCCATGTGGGAATCCACCAGGTTTAACCACCATGCTACCTTTCAGCCCCTATTCATTTATTTTGATTTGACCAGAGAGAGAGAGAGAAAGTGAGAAAGCAAGCCACCAGGTCTGGGACTCAAAACTGGTTGACTGTGTGGGAGTGTCTAGGGCCTTAACTACCTTGCCACCTGCTAGGCCCCTATTGGTATAATTTTTAAATAAACATTTAACTTTTAAGTAAGAAATCACCCCTGGCTTTCTGTCTCTCTGTCTCTCTCTCTGTCTGTCTGGCGAGCGCATGTGACCTCTATCGAAAACCTCTCCAAAAAAAAAAAAACAGTTCATGGAATATGTATATTATGAAAAACTGATGCATGAATTTTGAAATGTTTACAACAAAATAATCTTGTCTTTTTTTTTTTTTTTTTTTTTTGGTGCATGTGTGCTCACTAGAGAAAGGCAGATGGACAGGAAAAGTGAGAAATTATCCCTGCAGAGGGGCTGGCCCACACCACAGTCCCTTCTCCTTTCTTGGAATTTCATGCATGCGTGTGCACATGTCTGGTGTGTTTTTCAATTAGCAATAATCGCGCCTCGGATAAACCTCATTGGCTACGATACTGCCACTGCGCAAAGCTGGCTCTGGTGTGTTTTTCAGGCCACGGGCTCCAGGAATCAAACCGTATAGTCAGCCATGTGGGATCCAGTGCCTTAACGACCATACCAACGGCTGGCCCCTTATTTTCTCTTTTTCAGTTTTGCCATGGGGCCCTTGCGCTTGCCAGAGAGAGAGACAGAAATACAGAGAGAGGACATGAAGAATCACTCCCCCCCCCAGGGAGAGGGGGTGCATTTTTTTCTTGAGATTTTTGGGCCCGTGCTCACATGCCCGATAAGTTTTTCTTTTCTTTTCCTTTTTTCTTTTTTAAAGAATATTTTATTTTATTCTTCTTCATTTTGACCAGAGAGAAAAAGAGAGAGAGAGTTTGTGTGTGAGAAAGCTAGCTGCCAGGACTGGGATTCGAACAGCAGTCGGTCATGTGGGAGTCCAGCACCCTTAACCACCACAATACCTGCCAGCCCCTGTATTTTTTTTTTTTTACAGAATTATTCATTTTATTTGATAGTATGTATTTATTTTTAATTTTTACCAGAGGTAGACACAGAAAGTTAAAGCGAGAATGCAACCAGCAGATCCGGGACTCGAACCGCAGTCAGCCATGTTGGAGTCCTGTGCCTTAACTCCTGTTCCACCTGCTGGCTCTGAAGTCATACTTTTAATTTTGTTTTTCGCAGACTCTAGAAGTCCCCTTGTGACTGCCGCAGGTGATGTGGTTGTTAAGGGTACTAGACTCCCACATGGCCGACTGCAGTTCGAGCCCCGGACCTGGTGGCTTGCTTTCTCTCTGTCTGTCTGTCTCTGTCCCACTCTGATCAAATTTAAATAAATAAATAAAGTTATATAAACAATACAGTCTTAAAAAAATAAATAAAGTCCCCTGTGTGACCCCCTTTTCACCTCCCAACACCTCTGAGTTCTCAGGATGACAAACTTGAGGTTCAGGTGGTCTTGCTGCATCTCGGGCACACCCACCAGTGATGAGGCAGATCCCAGTCAATGGGGTAGCCAGCTCCACCTCTTTGATCCCCTGCCCCTCATGCCGCCTCCTTTGGTGCAAACCAAATTCTCTGTCTTCCCACCTGGCAGGCAGCGGAGGAGGAGGAAGAGATGGACCCTCCGGACTCGGCCTCGAGGGTCTTCTGTGGCCGCATCCTCAGCATGGTGAATGCCGATGACGTCAATGCCATCATCCTGGCCCAGAAGAACATGTGAGAAGTGGCCCCGGTCCCGGCAAGGAATCCACTCGGCTAACATCCCTGCCCTCCTGCCCTGCCCGCCCTGATCCCGGGTCCACACGGGTGATAAAATGAAGGCAATTAAGAAATCGACAAGGACCAGCAGTTAGCGTAATGGCTATATCGCTGGACTCCCACGTAGTCGACCACAGTTCGAGTCCCGAACCCGGTGGCTTAAACTCACGCCGGGCGCGTGTGTGTGCGTGCCCAAGATCCCGAGAGGAGAATGGAGGAGAAGGGATTGCGGCTTGGCCATCCCCCCTAGGGGGTGATTTCTCGCTTTCTTTCTCTGTCTGGAGAGCGCACGTGCCCTAGAGCTAAAATCCCTCCAAAAAAAAAAAGAAATCAGCAGCCTAGTTCCAGTGTAAATTCCTCCCTAGCCCCGAGGCAAAGCCTCGGAGGGGTTCCAGAAGGTTCTGCAGTTGCAGATGGATTAATGGGGTTCCTGTCCCAAAGCGTGGCACAGGAAGAGGGGGAAGGAACTGGGACCGAGAGGGACTTTGAAAGAAGTTGTTATTGTTGTTGTTGTTTTTATAATGATTTATTTTATATTATTTATTTATTTATTTATTTTTTAATGTGCCTGAGAGCACAAGCACTTGCCAGAGAAAGAAAAACAGAGGAAGGGGGGGAAGCACCCTCCCCGATGGGGCACAGACACAGTGCAATCCCTTCTGCAGATGGAGAAACTCCATCTCTCCATCCTGTCAGGATTTAGAGCCCACCTCAGGCACTCAGCACATGTGTCAATACCATGCTGCTGCGGCTGGGATTTGAATAGTCTTCTGGTCTGGCTCCCTTCACCACAGGGTCGACTACATGGGAGTCCGGTGACATAGCCATGACGCCAACTGCTGGCCCCTGTTTATTATATTTTTAATTAGTTTTAATTTTCCTTCAAGATCTCAGGAGGAAAGTAGAGGACAAGGGATTATAGTGTGGCTATCCTCCCTGGGAGTGATTTCTTACTTGCCCTCTCATTGTCTCCCCCTACCTCCCACCCACCCATGGCATGAGCACAAGTTTCCTAAGGCAGAAAAAAAAAAAAAAAAATCGACAGGTCAGCAAATGGGGAGGTGCTTAAGAGTCCTGGACTCCCACATGGCCATTCTCAGTTTGAGTCCCAGACTTGGCAGCTTGCTTATTCTTGGGGGTGATTTCTTGCTGTCTCTGTGTCTCTCTCTCTGTCTTTCTGGTGAGCACACGTGCCCTACAGCAAAAAACTCTCAAAAAAAATAATAAAACGAAATAATTATTTTCTAAAAATTTTGAAAAAGAGGCAGCAGATGATGTCGTGGTTATGTCATTGGATTCCCCCATGTGGCCAGTTCAACATCAGATCGAATCCCAGACCTGAAGGTTAGAAAAATCTCACCAGATGGGAACCAGCAGTTAGCGTAATGGCTATGTCGCTGGACTCCCACGTAGTTGACCGTGGTTCGCGTCCCGGACCCGGTGGCTTAAAACTCACGCCGGGCGGCGCGTGTTTGTGCGAGCCCAAGATCCCGAGAGGAAAATGGAGGAGAAGGGATTGTGGCGTGGCCATGCCCCCTGGGGGGGATTTCTGGCTTTCTGTCTCTCTGTCTGTCTGGCGAGTGCACGTAGTTTCCACCCTGCAGCTCAAGCGAACTAGCTCGCAGAGGTGGAGAAGTGCACGTGGGGTTAGCCTGTACAGTCTGTAGGTCCGCGAGCCCCAACTGGGGAAGGCCGGGGAGTCCGGTGGGAGAAGTTCCAGCCGTCTCCCTGTACCCAGGCTGGACCGGTTTGAGAAGACCAACGAGATGCTGTTGAACTTCAACAACTTGTCCAGCGCCCGCCTGCAGCAGATGAGCGAGCGCTTCCTGCACCACACGCGGACCCTGGTGGAGATGAAGAGGGACCTGGACAGCATCTTCCGCAGGATCAGGTGGGTGCACGGGTAGCCACGCCCCCGGCCCTGCCATGGCCCCGCCTTTGGGCTCCGCCCCGCCCCTGGTCTCCGCCCCAGCTCTAGCCTCTGCTTCTCCTCCATCCTCAGCCCCGCCTCCGCCTTGTAATTGGTCCAGGCCCTGGCTCCGGCCCCGCCCATGGCCTCGGCCCCACCCCTTCCCAGTCTTTGGCTCCGGTTCTGACCCCAGCCCCGCCCCAGCCTTGCCCTCGGCCCCGCCTCCTCTCAGTCGTTGGCCCCCTCCCTGGCCTCAACTCCGCCCTATCCTTGTCCCCGGCCCCGCCCATGGCCTTGGCCTCCCCCTTTCCCAGGCTCGGCCCCCAGCCCCGCCACAGCCTTGCCCTCAGTCCCAACCCCTCTCAGTCATTGGCACAGTCCCTGGCTCCGCCCCTGTCCATGGCCTCTCTCCCCGCCACTTCTCAGTCTTTGGCCCAGTTGGCCCAGGTTCTGGCTCCAGCCCTGCCCCAGCCTCGCCCTCGGCCCCGCCCCCTCTCAGTCGTTGACCTGCTCTCTGGCTCCAGCCCCGCTCTTGGCCTCGGCCCCGCCCCCTCTCAGTCGTTGGCCCAGTCCCTGGCTCCGGCCCCGCCCATGGCCTCGGCTCCACCCCCTGCCCCAGCCTAGAGTTTCCCTTGCTGCCTCATTGGAGTTGGGGTTTCTTCTGCCCAATAGGGCAAAAAGGAGAGTACTTTGGAGTTTCCTTTTTTTTTTCTCGATTTTTTTTTTTTTTTTTAGAATTACTTTATTTAATTTTATTTAGTTTGATTAGAGAGGGACAGAGCAAGAGAGTGAGCGAAAATGAGAAAGCAGTAAGCCAAGTGGCATACCAACACCCTTAATCACCATGCTTCCTGCCTGCCCCATTGTTTTTCTAGTTTTCTTTAATTTTTGAAAAAGAATTACTGTATTTAAATTAATTTCTGTAAATTAGACCAGTGAGGGACAGAGCGAGAGAGAGAAAATGAGAAAGCAAGCCGCCTGGTCTGGGACTTGAACCTCGGTCAGCCATGTGAGTCCAGTGCTCTTAACCACTATGTTAATTGCCGGCCCCATTTTTTTTTTAAACATATATTTTCTTTTTTAAAAAATAATTATTCATTTTTTTATTTGACTAGAGAGACAGAGAGAGAGAAAAAGAGGGAGGGCAAGAGGGAAAGTGAGAAGGCAAGCCACCAGGTCCAGGACTTGAACCATGGATGGCCATGTGAGAGCATCCAGCACCTTCAGCACTGTGCCACCTGCTGGACCCGCTTCTTTGTTGGTTTTCTATAGGGCTTGTGTATTTGCTGTAGACAGAGAGAGGGGGAATGTAAGAAATTACTCCTTCCCCCCAGGCCAGGTGGGGTAGAACTTAATTAAGGTACTCGATCCTACATGGCAAGTTTTCCCCCAGGCCAGCTGGTGGGGTAGAAATTAAGGTACTCGATCCTACATGGCAAGTTTCGTGGTTTGAGTCCTGAACATGACACCCTAAGAGCCACACTGTGTGCGTGTATGTGTGTGCTTGCCCGAAATACCAAGAAGAGAGTGGAGAAGGGATTGCGAAGTGGCCTTTCTCCCAGGGATGATTTCTCCAGTGTTTTTCTGTGTCTCTCTGACTAACACACACACCCTATAGCAAAAAAAAAAAAAAAAAAAACTCTCTCTTGGAGCCAGCAGGCACCGTGGCGGTTAAGGCTCTAGACATTCCCACCTGGTGGACCATAGTTCGAGTCCTGGACACGGTGATTTGCTTTCTCATTTTTCCTCCCTTTCTCTCTGTGTCTCTCTCTACTCCAATTAAAAAGAAATGAATGAATAAATAACTCATTTAAAATAAAAAAAAAAACCTTAAAATAAAAAAAAAAGAGGACCACCAGATGGCCTAACGGTTACATTGCAGGAATGTTACATAGTTGACTGCGGTTCAAGTCTCTGACCAGGCGACTTAAAACTCACACCACGGACTGGAGATTTACTGTGCTAACTTCTCTGTCCCCACTGGAGTAATAAACAGTTCTCCTCAAAAAAAAAAAAAAAACCTCACACCAGGGACCAGGAGATGGCATACTGGTTATGTCACTGGACTCCCACATAGTGGACTGCAGTTCGAATCCCAGACCTGGAGGCTTAAACTTCACACCGGGCGCATGTGCGTGCGTGCCCAAGATCCCAAGAGGAGAATGGAGGAGAAGGGATTGTGGCGTGGCCATCCCCCCTGGGGGGTGATTTCTCGCTTTCTGTCTCTCTGTGTCTCTGTCTTTCTGCCGAGTGTACGCGCCCTATAGCAAAAAAACTCTCAAAAAAAAAAAAAAAAAGACTGATATAAAAGAAAAACAAAGCTGGATAGTTTCCATGTGATTGGGTATGATCCAAGTTCTGACCACCATAGCTTGAAAATCATGCTGGGTGGGGCTAGCCAAGTGGCATGGTGGTTAAGGGTGCTGGACTCCCACATGGCCAACCACGGTTTGAGTCTTGGACCTGGTGGCTTGCTGTCTCACTTTCTCTCTCTCTCTCTCTTTCTCTCGTTCTGTACCTCTCTGGTCAAAAAATAAATAAGTAAATCAAGTTAAATAAGATAATTCTTTTTTGAAAAAATCATGCTGGGTGTGTGCATGCGTGTCCAAAATCCCAATGGGATAGAGGAGTGGACAAAAGGACCAACAGCGCCATGATGGTCAGGGCGACTTGATCCCCCTTGACTGACTACATGGTTAGGGTTCGAGTCCCGGACCCGGTGGCTTAAAAAATCACACCAGCCATATGTGCATGCGTGCCCAAGATCCCGAGAGGAGAATGGAGGAGAAGGGATTGCGGCATGGCCATCCCCCCCGGGGGGGTGATTTCTCACTTTCCCTCTCTCTGTGTCTCCAGTGAGTGCATGCACCCCATAGAAAATTTCACAAGAGAAAGAGAGCCGGTAGATGGTGTGGTGGTTAGGGTGCTGGATCCCACATGGCTGACTTTAATTGGAGGCTCAGACCAGTGGCTTGGAAAACATGTCGGGGGGGTGTGCATACATACCCAAAATCCTGAGAAGAGAAGAGAAGGGATCTTTTCTTTTTTTTTTTTGAGAGATTTTTGCTATAGGGCGCGTGCGCTGGCCAGACAGACAAAGAGAGACAGAAAGCAGGAAATCACCCTCCAGGGGGAACGGCCACACCGCAATCCCTTCTCCTCCATTCTCCTCTCGGGATCTTGGGCACGCACGCACACGTGCCCGGCGTGCGTTTAAGCCACCAGGTCCGGGACTCGAACCGCGGTCAACTACGTGGGAGTCCAGCCACATAGCCATGATGCTAACTGCTGGTCCCGAGAAGGGATCTTAGTGGGGCCATCCTCCCTGGGGAATGATGTCTCCCTTTCGGTCTCTCTGTCTCTAGCCATTATACGCACACACTGTATTGCATTAAAAAAGAAAGAAAGGAGAAGGGATTGGAGTGTGATTTTGGCCACCTGCCGGCCTCTATTTTTTTTTTAAAGAGGTAACTTTTTTCACGTAGATCTCTTGCACTCACCAGAGAGACAGAAATCACTCGGAGGGCTGGATGGCCACCCCTCAATCCCCTGGGAATATATGGCAGTGTGAGTTTAAGCCACTGGGTCCAGGAATCAAACCATGGGCAACCCCTGCCAGCCCCCACCTTACATATTCCTAAGCTACCTGGGTCCGGATTCAAACCATGGGCAGTCCTCCCCTCCTAAACCAAATTCTCATACCTGAATTTCGAGGGAAAAACCGTTATTGAAAACCATGGCAGTGCTTGGACCTCCCCAGACAGGACCATGATGTGGCGAGCCCCGAGGACGGCCAAGCCCTGGAACGGGGGCTCCGGGCCATCTGTTCCACAGGTCAACCCGTGTCCCTCTTCTTCCCCGCAGAACACTGAAAGGGAAACTGGCCCGCCAGCACCCGGAGGCCTTCAGCCGTAAGTGTCACCCCGGGCTCCTGTGTGGGAGGGTCCCTGTGCCTTCCCCCCAGGGTTGGCTTCCAGAAGTCACCTCAGGCTGGCATGGAGCCCAGGGACTACTGGGGCGGTGGGTCCCAAAAGAACCATGGGTGGGGAAGGAAAAAAAAAACCAGCAGTTAGCGTCATGGCTATGTCGCTGGACTCCCACGTAGTCGACCGCTGTTCGAGTCCTGGACCCAGTGGCTTAAACTCACGCCGGGCACGTGTGCGTGCGTGCCCAAGATCCCGAGAGGAGAATGGAGGAGAAGGGA